TACAGCAATATGGCATAAAGAGAACCTTTAGGGAAAATGCATAAGGGAGAGAAAGGAAAGGCAGGATAAGGGTGAGGGAGAGTAAGGGAAGCAAAGCTGAGAGTGGAAAGATGTCAATAGTCACCGCCCACGGGGTCCAGCGATGGAACTTGAGAGTTGCAGCTTCCATGTCTGTCAGTTGGAGTGGTGGCCTTGATCCGTTGGGGGTGGGGGAGGGAACCCCCCAGACTCCAAGAAGTGATGAGTTATATCCATGGATGGTGTCCGGGCCATGCCACGAACCCCCAACATCTCCTGGGCCTGCGCAGAGTTCCCGTGAGGGGCCTGGGAAAAGGGATTTTCCTGCCTTTCAGGATTGGCAGAGGGGGGATGGGCCTTGATGGGCCATCAGAGGTCTAATGCAAAAGTCCTGCAGAAGCCTGCAAGAGTCCCTTGGAAATCCTAGAATGCACAAATCATGAACCATTTCAGTCTCTGACACCACCCCGTGATTTATGCATTCAATAATTTCTCTTTTGTTGTTCACTGTGACCCTTCTTTGTGGGCGGTGCCTTTCGTGTAGTGAACAGAAAGGGAGAAGAGTAAAGAAAAGAAAGAGAGAGCACAAATCCTTTCCCAATGCAATGCAATTCCCCCCAAAAAACCCAAACCTTACAGTAAAATAGTAAGCATATGGAACATAATAGGATCTCAATAGCTACAATCAAATTTCCTAACATTAACAAAGTTACAAACATCAGGATTTAATCCTGTCACAAATCTAATTTTCATTAGCCACTGTCTCCGCCCCGTGAGTAACCAGGGTATCTTTTAATGCGTGTTGGGTGTGAGGGATTCTATAATAATGTGTCTGTTAGAGGGGCCAATGTGTCTTGAAATTAGACCTGAAATTACACATCAGTTTTTATGCAAATACATTGAGTTACTTGGGAGTTGGTAAAAGGCTTTCTTAAATTCTCTTCACTTTCTTTTCTTTTGCCCAGATTTAGTTTAATTTGTTAATATTTTGAGAAATTTAGCCAAATATAAAATTTGATGCCTTCTGAGGCAGCGGGTTACTGCATCTAATGCATATTTGTATGACTCCATATTTTGGAATGTATGATAATATATTGAGAAAGTTAGCCCAGGAGCTCATGAATATGCAGCAGGGTGGGACATTTGCAACCCCTGGGACGGCCCATTGGTGACAACACATCTCACCTATGACATCACACCTCCCCATGACATCACAGCTCCCTGACATCACAGCTGACGTCACATTGATCATATGATATCACATCCTTCCTGTGGCATTACACCTCCCCTGTGACATCAAATCTCTCCTATGACGACACATCCATCATATGACATCACATCTCTCCTGTGATATATCATCCCTCTGACATCACATCCTCCCCGTGACATCACAGCCCACTGTGACATCACAGCTCTCCTGTGACATCACATCCTTCCTCTGACATCACATCTCCCCTATGACATCACATCCATCATATGACATCAGATCTCTCCTGTGATATCATATCATCCCTCTGACATCACACCCGCCCCGTGAAATCACATCATCCCTGTGACATCACATCTCTCCTATGACATCACATCCACCATATGACATCACACCTCTCCTGTGATCTCTTATCATCCCTGTGCTGTCACGTCCTCCCCGTGACATCACATCATCACTTTGACATCACAGCTCCCCTGTGACATCACATCCAGTCACATCCAGATCCATCCCAAGGCTGGGTGTGTGTGAGACAGGCAGAACCACAAATGCCTGCACAGCCCAGAGCAGTCAGTGTGGGGCTGTGCTTGCTGCTGCAGAGACCCCCAGGGAACAAACACAGGCACTTGTTTGGGGGGGGTGTCCCTAAGGAGGGCACTTGCCTTATTATTGCTTATTCTTTGTAATATCTTATAGATCTCTCATACAACACCTAAGGATGGATTCTATAGAATATGTGCCATAGATATTTGGGTTGGGTCTGGCTGAGCTGCAGTTCAGTTCCCCACAGCAGCCCTCCCAGGGCTGGGCTTGGCATTGGCAGCTGGAAGGGTGTTGAGAACACCCCAGTGTTTTGGCCACTGCTGAGCACAGCACCAACACTGGGACATTCCTTCCTTAGCTGAGGGCAAGAGCCTGGCAGGGGACCCAAGTAGGCCAGCTGAGCCCAACTGACCCAAGGGACATTGCAGCCCATGGGAGGTCAGCTCAGCTCTAAAAGCTGAGGCCCGGAGCAGGAGGGGGGCATTCATTGTCTGATGGCTGCCTGCTGAGGAACCGTCCCGCGGACCCAAGCCCTGCTCCTGGGGAGTGGCCGACCATGGCTGCTCATGGGAAGCAGAGAACAAACCCTGCTGTCTTTTGCTTTAAATGAACTGCCTTAACCCACGAGTTGTTTTTTTTTCCACCTTACTCTCTCCCCTGTCCTGCTGGGAAGGGGAGTGATAGAGCAACTGGGAGGGCACCTGGTGTCCAGCCAAAGTCAACCCACCACACACCTGAACACTTCCAGAGACTCCACCACCTCCCTGGGCTACTTGTTCCAATGCCTGAACACTCTCTCAGGGGAAAAAGGTTTCTTTAATATCTAAGATGAACCTTGCTCAAAGCAATTTAAAGCCATTTCCTCTCTTCCTGTCACTATAGCCTTGGCAGAAGAGACCAACCCCCACACCCACTAAAACCTCCTTTCAGGGCATTGTAGAGAGCAATGAGGTCCCCCCTGAGCCTCCCCTTCTCCAGACTCAACAAGCCCAGTTCCCTCAGCCGTCCCTCAGCAGACATGTTTTCCAGAGCCTTCCCCAGCTCCGTTCCCTTCTCTGGACACGCTCCAGCCCCTCAAGGGCCTTTTGGCACTGAGGGGTCAGAACTGGACACAGCACTCCAGGTGGGGCCTCAGCAGTGCCCAGCACAGAGGGGTAATCAGTTCTCTGCTCCTGCTGGCCACACTCTTCTCCACAAAGGCCACGATGCCCTTGGCCTTCTTGCCCCCCTGGGCACACTCTGCCTCATATCCAGCTGCTGTCAAGCAGCACCCTCAAGTCCCTTCCTGCTGAGCAGCTCTCCAGCCCCTCTGCCCCCAGCCTGGAGTGTTCCAGGGGGTTGTTGGGAGCCAAGGGCAGGCCCTGACACTTGGCCTTATTGATCCAGCCTGTCCAGATCCAAGAGCATGTTCCAGCAAGGACATGGTGGAACCTCATGGAACCAAGGACCATTGTGACACTGCAGGGCCTTCTAGAGCCAAAGGAGCCCTGGGAAACTGCGCAATCTCATGGAATCAAGGCAGCACTGTCACCCTGGCAAAACTCTTGGAATTCAGGGCCCATTGTGACACTGCAGGTTCCCATGGAACAAAAGGAACCCTGGGATGCTGCAGAAACTCATGGAACCAAGGACCATTGGGACATTGAGGGGGCTGATGGAATTTGGAGACTATTGGGACAATCCAGGGCCTCATGAAATCAAAGGAATTCTGGGACACTGTTGAACCTCCTGGAACCAAGGGTTCCTGCTGACATGTGTGTCCTCCTGGAACCAAGGGAGCCCTGAGATATTTCTGAACCTCCCAGAATCCAGGGGCCATTGGGACCCTGCAGAACCTCCTGCATTCAAGTGCTCCTTGTGAAACTGCAGGCTCTCCTGGAACCCAAGGATTCCTGGAACACTGCAGAGCTCACAGAACCAAGGGGCCACTGTCCCACTGCAGCTCCTTCTGAAGCACAAGGAACCCTGGGACAATGGGAAATCTTTGAGAATCCAAAGGGCATTTTGGGACTGCAGGGCCTCATGGAACTAAAGGAACCATTGGAGACTGTGGAAGCTCATGGAATCCAGGGGCCAATGGGACATGTGGGGCCTCCTGGAACCAAAAGAACCCTGAGAATTTTTGTGGGAACAAGTTAAGGCAGCAGCAGCTGCATTCAGCTAATCAGGATCCAAAAGGAGTGTTTTGGCCTTGACTGGTGTTTTCCATCCAGAGAGTGCTGTTTGCCAAAGTGGAAACCACTTGGAACGCTCTGCATGGCAGCCTGTGTTTTTGTCTGGTGGCTGAACACAGCCAGCACATGAGGGGAGGGGAATGTGTGGGATCAGGGCACTGCTTTGGGGCCATGCTGGGAATTCCGGTGGACTAAAAGACAAAGCCCAGGCGCTGTTTCCAAAGGAACCCCAATGAAAGGGGGACACCGGAAAGATGGGCGGACAAGTCCTGCAATGGAACTCTGTGTGTGCAGCCTCATTTTCTCCTTCAGTGCCCACAGGAGAGGGGGCAAAAAGTGGGGGTTGGGACCCCAAAAGTGTTCAGAGGGGAAATGGGGGATTGAGGGGACAATGGGAACATGGAAGGAACAGGGAGAAGGGTGGAAAAGGGGGGGTGGTCTGGTGGGTCGGATGGTCTCATGGGGGTCTTTGGGCACAGAGGGGTTGGGAAAGGGGGGTGGCCCCCCTGAGCTCCCAACTTCCTGTGGGGTACTGGATCCAATCTCAGCCTTGGATTATGCCAACACTTTCAGTTTAGAGGAATTACAGAGGTGTAACTGAATCATTTTTGTCCTCCAGGTTAAATGATGGTAAACCAGATCTATTGAGAGAAATTAATTTATTTAGGGTTCCAAATGATCAGACAAAAGATCTTCATCAGAATTATTTACTGCACAACAGAAACACTAAAACTACCAGGAGAACGGCATAAGATAGGACAGTGCTCTACACTAAAGCAATTGTTGAAGCAATTCTACCCAAGCTGGCACAAAACCTGTAATTCCTAATTACGGTTGGATGGAACTCCCCCAGACCAACATTCATGGAGAGAGATCTCTGCTCTCAACCTCCAGCAGTGACCTTGGGGGGTCCCCAGCCAAGGCAGAAATCTCCACACACCTCCCAAGAAGGGTTCTGTGAGAAGAAGCTGCCCCTGGGAAAGGGGACTGGTCCTTTGTGGTAAAAGGGATGGACTGACAGTCACTGCACTCCAGGGGTTGCCTCAGCATCAGGGGGTTCATTCGGGGTGGAAGCGGCAGCCAAAGCTCTTCCCGCAGTCGGGGCACTGGTAGGGCTTCTCTTACTGGTGGGTCCGTTGGTGTCTGGTCAAGGCAGAGCTGTGGGTGAAGCTCTTCCCACACTCCCCACACTTGTAGGGCCTCTCCCCGGTGTGGATGCGCCGGTGGGTGACGAGGGTGGAGTTCTGCTTGAAGCCCTTCCCGCAGTCGGTGCAGCGGAAGGGCCTCTCATCCGTGTGCGTCCGCTCGTGCAGGAGGAGATTGGAGCTGGTCGGAAACCTCTTCCCACATTGCAAGCACTTGTAGGGCCGTTCTCCAGTGTGGATGCGCTGGTGGGTGAGCAGGCCGGATTGCTGCCTGAAGCTCTTCCCACATTCCCCACACTTGTAGGGCCGTTCCCCACTGTGGATGCGCTGGTGTTGGGTCAGGTTGGAGCTCTGCCTGAAGCTCTTCCCACATTCCCCACACTTGTAGGGCCGTTCCCCAGTGTGCGTGTGCTGGTGGGTGAGGAGGTGGAAGCTCTTCCTGAAGCTCTTTCCACATTCCCCACATGTGTAGGGCAGTTCCCCAGAGTGGATGTGCTGGTGGGAAAGGAGGTGGGAGTTTCGGCTGAAGCTCTTCCCACATTCCTTACAAGAATAAGGCCGTTCCCCAGTGTGGATGCGCTTGTGGGTGCGGAGGTTGGAGCAGAAGCTGAAGCTCTTCCCACATTCCCTACACGTGTAGGGTCGTTCCCCCGTGTGGATCTGCTGGTGGGTGAGGAGGTGGGAGCTACAGCTGAAGCTCTTCCCACATTCCCCACACGGGTAGGGCCGTTCCCCAGTGTGGATGCGCTGGTGTTGGATCAAGCCCGAGTTATCACCGAAGCTCTTCCCACATTCCCCACACCTGTAGGGCCACTCCCCGGTGTGGATGTGCTGGTGTCTAATCAGGTTGGAGCTTTTCCTGAAGCTCTTCCCACATTCCAAGCACTGGAAGGGCTTCTCTCTGCTGGGAGGCTGCTCAGGGACCACCAGCTCAGAGCTCCCCCTCAAGCTCCGGCCGCCTTCCCGGCACAGGCTGGCTCTTTCCTCCTCAGAGCACCCTGGGCTGGCTTTGGAGCCCCTCCTGCGGGGGGATCTCCGGCCCTTTTCCTCCCCGCTGCCTTCCTGCACCGTGGAGCCCTTCAAAACGGCCTCTCCCACCAGGGTCTCACGGGGGGATTTGTCCTCCGCGCTCTCCGTCCTCAGCTCGGGGCCTGGGGCAGGAAGCAAGAAGGACAGGCAGGGGATTTGCCTCCGGCCCACAGGGAAGGCCAAGGACATCCCCCCAACTCCGGCCCCGGCAGGACGGCGGCGCCAGCGGGGTTGTCCTGCAGCCGGGGCCATGCTGGGCTGACAGAGCCAGCACAACACCCGCCCAAAGGGACACTGACTTCCTCCTCACCTGCCTGGGGGGCCCAAGGCATCTTCCTCTTCCTCGCAGCCTCCTCCTCCATCCGCCCAAGCTTTGGGAAGGACAAATCCTGATGGGGGGAAAACAAGGGCTGAGCACGTTGGCTTGGGGGTTCCTCCTAGAACTCACTGGGCGTCCTGTGTCAATAAAACACTCCAAAACACCAAGACTCAGACAATAGCAAGAAGACCCTCGCCCCCCCAAACTGCAAAACGTTACAGCTAAGTCAAAAAATACTCGAAACTATGAACATGCAGCGCAAAAAAATAATCCCAGAAATTCCTCCTCTCTGGTCTCTTCCCTCTGGGGTTCAGAGGGTCTCCCCTGACTGACCCTCTGACTCCTCTGGGGTGTTGGGGGTCCCAAGAGTCCCTTCTCCTCTGACTCTCACCTTCAGGGTGCCATATTCCCAGACATTCTCCCCTTCCACGTTTTCCACTTTGTTGTTCTGGGGATCCCAGGGGTCCCCACTGTCCAGGTTTCCCCTTCTCTATGCCCCACTTTTCAGGCTCCTGGGGGTCCCAGGGCTCCTCCCTCTCTGTGCTCCCCCCTCCAGGCTGCCAGGGGTCCCCCAGCTCCGCCATCTCCCCGCTCCGCCCTCCACACTCGGCAGCTCCCGGGCTCCCCACCCACCCCCGGCACTCCGGGGGGCCCCAAACCCGCTGTGTCCCCCCCGCCGGCACCGGGCTGACAATGGAGCCGGCGGGGCCTGACCCAGCAACACCAACCCCCACCGTGGGGGGGACCCACATCCCCCCACCCACCGCCGGGGCTCTGCCCCCAACCCAGCCCGGCACCCCCAAAAAACACCTCCTGCCCACCCCCAAGAGCCACCAGAAGAGGAGAAGCAACAGCAAGAGAACAATCAACCCCCATCCCATGGGTGCCCAGGAAGGGGGAACTCCTCCCAAATATCCTGGGGGAGCGCAGGGGGTCGTGACACACTCGGGCTGCCAGCACAGATTTCCCTGCAAAGTCTGCAGTGGGTCAAGCTCTGCAGAGGAGATTGTGCCACATGCATGGGATTGCAGAGGCTCCCTCGGGTCCCCAGCAGGAATCAGCAACCAGAAAGAGACACAAAAGGTCCCCCCTGAAGAGTTCTGGGGATGTGTCCTGTAGGGAGGGGACAGTGTCACCCCACCAGGGCAGGGTTGGCAAGTGGGAGGCTGCTCCAGGGCTCTGCAAGAGGCCTCGTGCTCTGCTCGGCCCCAGCACTGCCTGGTCCCAACACCCCCGGCTGCCCCCGGCCCTGGGCAGCTCTGCTGCCACAGGCTGTGCCCTCACCGTGGCCCTGCAATGGCCCTGCCTGTCCCTCACCCGTGGCCCTGCCCATGGCCCTGTCCCTTGGCTCTCTCTCTGCCAGCTCAGTGTGGGGCACACGGGCTGGGGGTCCCTCCCAAGCCCCCCGGGCAGCCGGCGTTGGCTGGGGGGATGTGAGGGCTGGGCCTGCTCAGCACAGCCCCGGCCTCGTGCCCAGCGCCTCTTTCCTGACCCACACAAGAGCTTCCCGGCCCCCCAGGGCTCCCCTGCTGCTGCCTCTGCTCCTGGCCCTGCCTTTGCTGCTCCCTTGGCTGGGGCAGCGGCTGCAGGGGGGGATGGCAGCAGCTTCAGCTCCACGGCACTTCCTGGGGGGAGCTCAGCCCGGGGGGACGGGCAGGGACCTGATGGGGATGGACAGGGGCCCAGCAGGGACAGCCAGGGCCTGCAGGGGAAGGCACAGGGACAACCTGGCCCCCCACACTGCCAGGGCTGTCTCTGCTCCTCCTTGCAGGCTCCGTGGCCAGGCACAGTTTGTGTTCCTGGGTGCCCACCATCTCAGCACTTGGAGACGCTCAAATCAGCGCCCGCAGCTCTGCAGCAAAGCCCCAGCTCACCTGGCACACAGGGGATGGACACAGCACCTGCTCAGGGATGGGCATTCACAGCTTTGTTTCTTCCCCACAACGGGGCTCTCCTTCCTCAGCAGCACCTCTGCCTTGCACTTATTCTCAGCCTCACCTCAGGGACAGCTCTGGGCTCACCTCCGCGCCACTTCTCAGCCTCACCTCAGGGCCTGGGCTCAAGGACAGGAACCTGCAGGGAGGGGACATCAGGTGCAAGCTGAGGGCTGCCTGCTTGCACTGGCCTCTGGGCTTCTTTCTCCTTCTACAACCAGCCCACAACTCAGCCTGCTTTTCTAACACCACACATTTACAGACTAACCTTGGAGATAGATATGGACAGACATCTCTATCACCCTGGGGATGGAGCCTCAAGCATGTGCTGCCATAGGAATGGCAATCAGAGAATCACAGAATCAGCCACGTTGGAAAAGACCTCCGAGATCATCAAGTCCAACCCTGGATCCAACCCCGCTGTGCTTCCCAGACCATGGCACTGATGCCACATCCACTCTCACCTTCAACACCTCCAGGGACGCTGACTCCACCCCCTCCCTGCCCAGCCCATTCCAAGGCCTGATTACTCTCTCAGCAAAAAATTGCTTCCTAATATCCAACCTAAACCTCCCCTGGCACAGCTCAAGACCCAGCCCTCTTGTCCTACTGCTGCTTCCTGGCAGAACAGCCCCACCCCCACCTGGCTCCAACCTCCTGGCAGGGACTTGCAGACAGTCAGGAGGGCTCCCCTGAGCCTCCTCTTCTCCAGCCTCAACACCCCCAGCTCCCTCAGCCTCTCCTCACACCACTTGTGCTCCACTCCCTTCCCCAGCCTCGCTGCTCTTCTCTGCACCTGCTCCAGCCCCTCCAGGGCCTTCCTCAACTCAGGGCCCAGAGCTGGACACAGCACTCCAGGGGTGGCCTCACCAGCGCTCACTCCAGCCCAACAATCCCTTCCCTGCTCCTGCTGACACACTCTTCCTCACACAGGCCACCAGCCATTGGCCCTCTTGGCCACCTGGCCACACTCTGCCTCCTCTTCAGCTCCCTGTCCATCCCCACTCCCAGCTCCCTTTCTGCCTGCCTGCTCTCCAGACACTCTGGCCCCAGCCCGGGGGGCTGACGGGGCTTCTTGTGGCCAAAGGGCAGGACCCGGCCCTTGGCCTGCTGGAACCTCATCCCCTTGCAATCAGCCCATGGATCCAGCTGGGCCAGGTCCCTCTGCAGAGCCCTCCTGCCTTCCAGCACATCAACACACCCCCAGCTTGGGGTCACCTGCACATTTGCTGATGAAATGCCTGGTTCTGCAGCAGCTGCAGATGCTCAAGGGGCAGCAGGACCAAGTCAGGGGCCTGGGGGGGCCTGGGGGGCTTTGGGGTATGGGAGGGTCCTGGGGGAGCTGGGGAGGGGCTTTGGGGATTGGGGGGACAGACCAGGACAGACCAGCACAGACCAGGACAGACCAGTACCTCCTCACTGCTCCCCAGATCTCTCCTGGAGCTGGGCCACCTTGTCCTGGGACACCTGAGCCCCCCCCAGTGCCCTCCCAGTACAGCCCAGTGCCCCCAGTACAGCCCACTGTGTTCCTGTCCCAGGGTGCAAGGTGATCCCTCTTAGAGGGGGGTTGGAAGGGATTTGAGGTGGGGACTTGGGGAGATTTGGGGGGATCTGGGGAGGCGGTTCAATGGGGATTTGGGGGGTTTTGAGGGGCTTTGTGTGAATTTAGGGGAGTTAAAAGGGGTGTTGGGAAGTCAAAGGGATCTGTAGGGGGAGGTGATTAAAGGGAAAATGGGGATTAGGGGACATTTGGGGCAGGTTAATGATGTCTGCAGGTAAAGAGGAGGGGCAGCACCACACTCAGGTGAGTCCTGAGACCTCTCTGGTGTCCCCAAGACCTTCTTGGTGTCCCTAATTTCCCCCCTTAAGACCCTGAGACTCTCCTGGTGTCTCCAATGTCCCCAGGGCCTCCCCATCAGCCCAATTCCCTTCTTGACACCCCCAATTCCACTGTCCACAAACCCCTCCCCACTCTCCCCAGTGTACCCAAACCCCATCCCTGATGTCCCCAACCCTCCATCTCACCCCAGGAGCCCCCCCTGGACCGTCTGACCCCAAAAACACCCCCCCACACACTCACAGAGAGGCCAAGGACATCTGGGGACACGTTGGGAACAGTTGGGGGGTACTGGGTGATTACTGGGGGATACTGGGACACACTGGGGGGAACCAGGGGGCACTGGGAGGGACTGGGGGGTTACAGAGAGATGCTGGAAGAGCACTGGGAGGGACTGGAAGTTACTGGGGGATTACCAGGACACACGGGGGGACACTCAGAAGTTAGTGGGCCATGCTAGGGGGTTACTGGGTGATCACTGGAGGATCACTGGGCCATACTGGGGGGCAGTGGGAGGTTACTGGGACATACTGGCTGGTCATTAAGGAGGTTACTGGGCTGCACTGAGGGTCGCTGGGAAGTCACTGGGCTATACTGAGGGCACTGGGATCCCCTTACCTGGATGTGGTACATCTCCCCCCCAGACTTTGAGGAGCACCCCCAGCACACCTCCCCTGGGGACTGGGAGATCCCCTGAACTGGGCTTTGGGGGACCCCCGGGCACCCCTTCCTGTGGGGTCTCTGTGTGATGAGTGTTGGGGGTCTCTGGGGTTCGGGCGGGGTCTCTGGGATCCCCTTTCCCTGGGGTCGGTCCGCCGGGCCGGCCGGAGCGCTGTGGCGGGAAAAGTAATGGCGGATCGCGCAGAGCCTCATGGGAGTTGCAGTTCCCTCTTCAGTACTCCGCCGGCGCGCCTGCGCAGTGCAGGCAGGGCGTTATCTAAGGCCCCCTCCTCATCCCCCGCTCGTTCCAGGCCTGCGCTCTGACCCTCGAGAACCCCCGAACCCCTCGGCTAAACCCTCCCGAACTCTCCAGCCTTTCCACCCACAGCCGCGCTCCTCGCAGCCCCCGAGGGGATCCCCAGAGCCCCGCTCTCCCGCAGGCCCCGCCAGCTCACAGTGCAGCACGGAGCCAGCGCCATGATGGCTCCCCGTAGGCAACACAGCGCTCTGCGCGCGCAACGCCTTTACTGACCCCGCCGCAGCCAATCAGGGCGCGGCCCCGCCCTCCGCCCGCCCGCCCGTCAGGAATGTTCGCACGGGCGGTGCCGCAGCGCCCTCAGCCTGAACTGAACCTGCTTTTACCTCATGAAATCTTTGATCTCTGTTAGCCAACACCCTCTTTCCTTCCCCAATTGTCTTGCCCGTTTGGGGGGAGGGGGGTGTCATAGCGGCCCTTTGCACTTGAGCGGACTGAGGTTTCTACCACAAAGGGCCAGTCCCCTTTCCCAGGGGCAGCTTCTTCCAACAGAACCCTTCCGGGGGGTGTGTGGAAATTCCTGCCTTGGCTGGGGACCCCCCCAAGGTCAGTCCTGGAGGTTGAGAGCAGAGATCTCCCCATGAACGTTGGTCTGGGGGAGTTCCATCCATCTCTAATTAAGAATTATTGCTTTTGTGCCAGCTTTAGTAGAATTGCTTCAACAATTGCTTTAGTGTAGAGCACTGTCCTATCTTATCCTGTATTCCTGGTAGTTTTAGTGTTTGTATTGTGCAGTAAATAATTCTGATGAAGATCTTTTGTGTGATCATTTGTAACCCTAAATAATTCATTTCTATCAATAGATCTGATTTGCCATCATTAAAACCTGGGGGACAAAAGTAGTTCAGTCACACCTCTGTAATTCCTCTAAACTGAAACTGTTGGCATAATCCAAGGCTGAGATTGGATCCAGCAGCCCCCAGCACCCCACAGGAAGTTGGGAGCTCAGGGGGGCCACCCCCTTTTGCCAACCCCCCTGTGCCCAAAGACCCCCATGGGGCTGTC